TGAATGGTTTATACATGAGTGAGAGTCTTCTACTAAGACCCAGTGATCCATATATGCCACCTTGATGAACTCCTAGCACTACATGTCTTTGGAGAAGAAAAGGAAGAGAGAATCATAAGGATAATTACTCTGATTTAATGCAATATTCACCTGTAGCACCTTCCTTCATGGCTTGATTTAAATCGTATGGTAAACCGTTGCAATGAAGTTAAAGGTGAAGTCAAGTAGAGGGACAATATGACAGCTTCAAGACATTTGATTGGGAGAGACTCTTTAATCATATCTTTAGCCATATCCATCAGTCTGAAATGGTAGTTTTTAATAAATAATTATTGTCTGGATTATTAAGTACCTTGATAAAGGCTTGTATCTCTTTACATCAAAGAATTGCATCCCAGTGTAGTTGTATCTAAAAAAGAAAAGAGAGAGAACAGAGAGTACCATGAACATGTTTTAGTCATAAGTACTGTAATTTTTGTAAATATTCCTGTACTGATGAAAGACTTGATGGTATAGAGGCACTTGGTTGTATGACAGGAGCATTAGGATATGGTACCTAATGGAGTGTCACTGATAGAAATAGCATAAGCTCCTTTGCCTTTACCCTTTTATTGGTCTTCCCTCTAATAGACTCAGCAACATCGTGTCCCTGGGGATGAGTGACAATCACATAATCCCACATTTTTTCCCAAGTTGAAGAGCTGATTGGAAATCCCTCCGTATTGACCAACCAGTAGTACTTGTTTAGACGAAGATTGGGGGCAGAGACATCCTTTTGGACTACTTTGCCTTCATCCGCCATGATGGTGTCCAGTTACTATGGTAACTCTATCAGCCTCTTAGGGGTTAAAATATTTTATCTCGTTATATTTTCCGTGCACTTTTAAAAATGAGTTTACGGAGAAAAACAGAAGGTATCCGGTGATTGTGTAATCTCCGTAGTCTCGGATCATTTAATTATGCAGGGCGTGGCTTTGTTTTTTCTCTCTTTTAAAAATGTCCTCGTGGTTCAGTGGAAGTAGTTTCACATCATTGACGGACCAGATAACCTCATTCACCAAAGATGTACTGAACGAGACCACCCAAGAGATAGAGGGTAATCGATATTAACACTCCTACCCGCCGAATCCCTCTTTTACCCACTCACTATGCACACACAGACCCTGTCACTGAACTACAGGTAGCACAAAGACAGATAGAACAATTAAAGGAAGAAGCCAGTCAATACACAACTGAAGTATGATGGGTTTATGAAGTAGTAGTGACATTTATGTGCTGTAGTTGGTGAGGTTGAGGAAGAGCAATGAGGAGTATAGAGAAAGAGCGGAAGCTGCTGAGTATCAGGTTGTATCAAACAAAGAGCAATATCTCAAATTGCTACAAGAACAAGAGGTATTTAATTCATTGTCTGGGGCTATGATTATTATTAAAATTATATTATTATTATTATTATTATTATTATTATTATTGCTAAACATGTAGAACCAGATTTTAGCAGTAGACATGTACATGTACATTATACATATAATATTAATATTGCCAGAGCATGAAATAACAGTTGGACATTGGAAGAGTTTTGCATTGTTCAGTCAGTTTGTCTAAACAACATAACTTCAGTGTTTCCTACAAAGCATGCTAAGTGAGCTAAACAGCACGAGCTTCATGAACTGACAGCCAAGCCACTACAATGTACATGGCATTTGGAGCAACTTTATAAATTCATAAAAAAATCCAGTTTTGATCAGAATCAGCTCAATTTCCTACATGAAATAAGGACATGTATATGTATCTGGAAAAATTATAAGAATGGAGAATTGTTTTTTTCCATTTTTGACAAAATTTAGTCAAAGATTAATAGCTATGGTACTTGGTCCTTGGCAGCAACTTTAAAAATTCATAAAAAATTAAAACTTGATTGGAATGAGCTCAAGCTTGATACACAACATAAGAACATGTATGTGTATCAGAAAAAATTATTAAAAGGGAGAATTCTCTCCTAGTCATTTTTGGTGAAATTTTGCCAAAGATCCTGTACTATAGTACAGGGACTTTGTCTCGATTTTGGAGTAACTTTAAAATTCATAAAAAATTCAAACTTGATTGGAATGAGCTTGATACACAACATAAGAGCATGTATGTGTATCAGAAAAA